CACTTAGTTCGAGCTACACAACAGAGTAAGATTTGAGAGGAGGGTGTGCATGAAGGAAGAAAACAGCCTTAGGATCTGCTCTCAACCAAGCAGCTCAGGGGTGACATGCCATAAGACAGACAGACAGAGAAGCCCCAAGCCTGTGCCACTTGCCAACTGCTGGGCAATTACCCAAGTGTCTGTTGATAAATATGCCCCTAAGGAGAGCAGGGAGAAAAAGGTCCCTACGAGTCAAGCTGCTGTCCCCAAACCACCCATCCACTGCTCCTCCTATCTAAATGAAGGCGTCATGTGGAGCCCAGTGCAGAAAGGCACAAAAGGCTCTCCTGGTGGAGTGACAGGCACCTCATGCCCTCAGTATGGGCAGGTCCCACTCACCAGAGAGGGTCTCCTTCCACTCCGCATCTCACTGACATTCACGTCTTCACTGAAAGGAAGCCAGGCAGAGGACAGGGCACCAAAGACAGCCTCCTTCTGGAGGTTAGGCTAGGTATAGCTGCACTGGAGCCACTGGTCACGCTTCACAGTGAAGGCCTTGGTCTACCCAGGAGCCAGAGCTGAGACCCTGCAGTCATTCAGGGCAAATCTACAAAGCACCCCAAGCAAAAGGCATCTTCAGTCCTCTGTTCCACTTTTCCAAGGTCAGAGGACTGCAATGTACCCAGAGAAAAAAATAAACATAAGTATTAGGGGAAAGTACCACCCAATTAAGAAGGTGACATCAGAGCAATGGGGCAGATGCAGAAAACTTATCCATAGTGAAAAGAAGTTTACATCAGGACAGACGTGCCAGATGTACAAGACACGAGCTGGTGCTGCTCTGAACAGGATCCCTGCCAAACAGAAGAGAATAAGAGCTGAGACTTGAGGCCTCTGACCCTAACCAAAGCACATGGCCCAGAAAGGTTCTCACACCTGCTGGACAACAGGGTCAGAGGCCAAAGTGCAGGAGAGAACAGCTGCACAGAGACAGGAGGCGTTTGCTTCTCTGAGGTATACATGCCTTCTGCTGACTTAGAAGCAACCTTACAGATATGCATCAGCAGAGGGGTGGAAACCCTACCAAATGATCCAGCCTATGCTACGCACTCACTCAGCATGATCTGAACATGGCCTTTACCTCTCTCAGGTAGCCCCGGATCCGGCTCTCACAGCTATATCTCAGGTAGCCAGACTTATTCCTGAATCGAGACTCCAAACCTGCAAGAAAGATGATTCTGGAATCCATAGGCAGACCACGACCTGTGTCCTGCATAGCTCAGGAGCCAAGCAGACAAGTAAGGGGCAGGGGGAGATGTGACTCACTCACACAGGTGCCACATGGAGGAGGACATATGGAGGTGTTCTGTTTATAGAGCTGGACAGTGGAGTGAGAGGGTTGGGCTACAGAGCCACAGAGCATGCATGGGCTGTGCAGGATGAAATGGGCACCAGTGCCCATGACAGGTGAGGGTGTTTGGATGCATGAGTGCCACCAACTGCACACCAGCCTTCTGTACAATAGATTCACCCAACCACAGACCTTAACCATTGAAAAATCTTACATCTGGGTAGGCGTACACCTTTAATCCAAGCACTTGGGAGGCAGAGGTAGGTAGATCTCTGAGTCTGAGGCCAGCCTGGTCTACAAAGTAAGTTCCAGGACAGTCAGGACTACACAGAGAAACCCTGCCTTGAAAAACTAAAACCAAAAACAAACAAATAAGTAAATTTTAAAAAAAAAAAAAAACCCTTGCATTGGAACTAAGTATGTGGATTGTTTTCTGTTTTAAAGGATGTTGAGTTTGTGTGCATCTGTATATGATGTGTAAGAATGTACGCATGTGTGCGCACATCTGTGCAAGTGCACTCACCCATGCGTGCACATGTGAAGAGGTAGAGGTCACCACTGAATGTCTTCCTCTGTCACTTTCCACCCTTATTTATTGAGACAGTGTCTCTCACTAAACCTGGAGCTCACTGTTGAGGCTATACTGACTGACCAGTGGACCCCAAGGATCAGCCTGCCCCTGCCCCACAACACTGATTTTAGGCATGTACACCTGGAACTTACTACCTTGGTGCTGGGATCTAAACTCGAGTACTCAGGCTTAAGCAGCAAGCACTACCCACTGAGCCATCTCCTAGGACCCTACAGACTGTTTTCTTGTCATTATTCCTTAACGAGAACAGCCAACTACTACTTTCACAGAATCTGCATTGTATCAAGTAACTTAAATGACCTAGGGATGATAGGAAGTTTATAGGAGAGATTCCTGAAGTTTGCTGGCCAGTCAGCCTGGCCTGATAGGCTCCAACCATTCCTCAGGATGACACCCAGGGATAAGATTTGACTCTCTGATACACTCTCTTGCTAAGGTGGTAAACTCCACATTCCATGTATTTTCCCATGGCTTTTGGAAGAATGATTTAAAAGGAAAAGAAAAAAGACTATTTCGAGGCTACCCTGGACACTGCCTCCAGCCAGGAGTCCCAGCCAGATGCCTTCCCATGGACACCTTTTGTTATCACTCCAGAGGCCTGTCACCCTTGGTTGGGAAGCATCGGGATCTGAAATAGACTGAGATCCTCCTGAGCCTCTGCTCTAAAGAGGCCCTTCTTCGCCTGCCCCAGACATCCTGGCCACCATCGTCACCCCAATCCACATACCTTCAAACCAGGATGGGTCCTGCTCCCGGGTCTCAGCAGTGATGTTCTGACTGACATGATGCAGAAGGTCGGCCAGCAGCTTCTGCCTCAGTGGGGCCTGCTCATCTGACAGCAGCTGCCGTGCAGCCCGGATGACCCCAGCATGTGGCTCATTAAACACACTGAGGAAGCGAGTGATGTCACTCACATCTGCCACACCAGGAGACAAACAGAAACACATGCACGCTGTTCTGGCCCCAAAAAGAGGATCCTGTCCACTCAGCCCAGGGACTGCCCAAAGTCAAGGCTCTGGTGTCACAACCCGTGCCCTGGTACCTGACACCTGACATCTCCACAGGTGTGGCACTCACAGGTGTGGCACTACCAGTTCCATTCCTCTGGTCACCTGTCAGGTGATGGGGGTTGTGGTAATCTAGGGAAGCACACTTCTCTTCTTCTGGCCCTCTCTCCTCCACACTAGGTCACCTCCTTCGCTCAATCCCTTAGGGTCCCACTTCCAGGCCTTCTAATCCCTCTCCCTACTTTCCCGGAGACCCTGCCCACAAGTGGCTACAGTGAGCTTTCCCAGCAAGTGCTGAACGCCAAGTACATCCTCCGGAGGATCTTATCCAAACAGGAGCAAACAGAATCCAGTACCAATTAAAAAAGCACAGACCACAGCCAAGTGAAGCTGCAAGTCTGGTTCATACTCAAAAAACTCAGTGAGATCTGCTGTGTTAACAAGCTGAAGAAGTAAGGTCTTGTGAACACACACACCAACGGATGCAGAAAATGCAGGAGGGAACCTCGGGAAGCCAGGACTTGCCAAAAGGTTTCTGGATGGTGAAAATGCACAAGGAAGAAAATGACAGTCTGAATATCGTCAAAGTCAGGAACTTGGAGGTTAGGTGTACGGCACATGCCAGGAGTGCCAGCAGTTGGTAGGTGGAGGCAGGAGATTAGAGGCTTTAGGCCAGCCTTAGCTACAGAGTGAAGTTAAGGCCAGCCTCAGCTACATGTATGTAACCTTGTCCTCCCTTTCCCTCCCAAGTCTGGACCTTTTGTTCTACTACAGAGCATGAAAAGAGTGTGGTCAGTTAGCTCAGCTGGTTGGAGCTCAGAGAGGGAAAAGGTACACAACAGGAGATATTTGAAAAGCACATTATCTGACATCAAAGTCATAACCAGGATTTTCTAGGGGTGGGGTAAATACTTCAACAGCTTAAAAAATTCGATTAAAAACAAAAAAGACATGAAGACTCCTGCAGGTGGCAAATGGGAACACAGCAAGATAATATCCAATCCAATTAGCCACCAGAGAAATTCAGATTAAGGCCACAGTGAGCTGTCATCACACAGCTACCTAGAATAGCTTTAATGAAAACCGTGATCCCTGACAGCATTTCAGCATTCACATGCCGAAGAACAGCCCTAGGCAAGGGTGAGCATGCCTGCCCTGCACAGTCCAGCCCAGCAACACCTTCCCGGGCTCCCCTAATCCTTCCCCCCTGCCCTTGGCAGTTAGGAAATAAATTTAATTTAACACACACACACACACGCACACACACACACACACACACACACACAAAACTGAAAACAGAGTTGCTCATCAAAGACTCTTGGCATTCAGCGCCCCTGACCTGATCTACTAGCCTGGGCCCCTGGACCGGGGCTTAAACCGTGTGGGTCCTGCCCATCTCCAAAGTGTTCCTACTCACAGCCTTGCCAGGTCTGACCAGCAGCGAGCAGCAGGAGTTCAGTATCGTTGGGGAGTCCCGGGAAGTAGTCGTCGGTCACCTCCGTGCCATCTTCGTACAAGCACAGCCGGGAGCCCGACACCGGGAGCTGGAGAACAGGAAGAGCAAGCAGGCTTCCAGACAGCCTGCTCAGGATGCCACCAGACTACAGGAGCCCAGCGCCCGTCCAAGCCCATCCAAGGGGAGGAAACCGTGTGAGCAGTAGCCAGGGTCCTTGTCCAGCAGTGCCTGCCCCGAAACCCCGGCCCACCTGGAAGCGGACGCAGCCCTTGTGCAGCAGCTCCTGGCAGCTCCGGGCCGCCACGCCGAACTTGCACGCGCTGTGTAGGGCTCGCAACTTGACGCACTTGGGTTGGCGGAGCACAGCGCACATTGCAGGGCTCCAGCAGCAGACTCTGCGCGCACCTGATGACAATGACTGACGCCCTCTCCTCGGCCCTCCCGGAACTGTGGTGTGCAGGAGCCGCCCGGAACGCTTTTCTCTACGTAGGCAGGCGCGACCCGATACGTCCGGCTACAGGACCTTTCCCCAGCCGGAATCCGCGAGGCGCGGCTGCGCGCGCAGGCGCCTGCGGGCGGACGCGCAGGCGTATAACGCGGGCCGGCCTGGTTGCCATGGGAGCGTGGCTGCGGCCCGGGCGCTGGGCAGAGGCGGCCCGGGCTGCTCCTCCGCTGCCCTCGCCTCAGTGGCCCGGGGTGGGGGCGGCCGGACCGAGGCGAGGCTCCTCCGAAGGGAGCGGAGGCTGGCATCGCAGCGTCCCGCGGGCTCGTCTCCGCGGCGCTCTGTGACCCCGCGCGGCCTGGGTCCTCAGCAGGCACCGGGGCGGAAGACACCTGGCCGTGGAGGAACGTGGCCGCTGCCCGCTCCAGGCCTCCGGGCCGCGCATCTCGGCCTTAGTGTCGGCAATCCGGGTCCAGCCCCGCCTTGTCCTCTTCTGGGTGCGTTACTGAACAGGACCAATTACCACAAGACTAAAGACTGTAGCTCTGGCCCCGGGTAGGCTACACTTTGATCGGTGTTGGGTTTTTTTTGGGGGGTGGGGGTGGGGTGGAGGGGTGTTGTTAATTGGGGCCGGTTTGAGATATTTTTTTAAGCTTTAAGATTCTCTAAAAATACTTTCAATCCTTAAGATTAATTGGTCGTAAATCAGTACTTAATATTGTAACATTTTTGTTTCTTCAAAAGAAAACTGGAAACATTTTCATTTCCTTGTAACAAAATATTTGAAAGTTGCTACATTGAGTTTGGGCTTAGGGCTGGAAGCATGGCTTTAAAGGATAGGCTCACAACTAAAAATATAAGAGTTTGGGCTTAGTTACAGTTTATAAGCAATGCTAGGGTAAATGTCACCTGACACTGCTGGCTAGGGCTGCCCTAGGGACAGCACCCACGGCTGGTGACCAACTAGTAACCCAGCATTGCACAGATCCAGAAGGCTCCGTGCTGGGTTTTGTGGAGCCACGAACATGCCAAGGCTTCTGAAGATTGGGGAAAGGGGAAGGAATAAGGGGTGGAAGGTCTCCCAGTGCACGGTCTGAAAATGAATGTTTTTGCAGCTGTCCATCTTGAGGTCCTGGTGTTTCTGACCACATTGCCCCACAGCCCTCCTTGCCAGGGTCTTCAGTACCAGTTATTTGTTTTGCTTTTATTGGGGACGCACTTGTATCTGCCTTTAACATTCTGTTTGTAAGTCTTGGTGCATCCCAGAATACAACTGTTGCCAAAGTAGAAAGGCCTGCTCTTTTTTTTTTTTTTTTTTTTTGAGACTGTCATTTGTAGCCCTGTAACTCCTACACAGACCACATTAACCTCAACTCACAGAGATCCTCCTTCCAAGCACTGAGATTAAAAGTGTGTTCTATGACACCTGGCACAGTCCAGGCCCTTGAAGATGGTCAAAGAATTGGAGACGTCAGAGCCAGAGGTTTACCTCTAAGTGTTTAATAACTTTGCATGCTCTCTAAAATTCATGACATAGTGAGGCGTAGTGGCGCCTGCCTTTAATCCTAGTACTCGAGGTGCCAAGCAGGAGGAGCTCTGTGTGAGGCCAGTCAGGGCTGATAGTGAGACTGTCTCAAAAGTAACAGGAAATTCAAGACAAGAAGTGAGAATGGGGGAAACAAGGTGTCAGGACAGAATTAGCATTTTAATTTCTAGATGGGGGGGGGGCCACAGAGGGTTTTGGAATTAAGACCTGGATAGAGGTAACTGAAGTCGGGTGTAAAGAATGTTTGTCTGGCAGGAACGTGGGTGGAGCAAGGCAGTTGTAACCATCTGGAATAGAGATGGGGAATAGACATAGGGAAGAGGCCGAATGACTAAGACTTTTCATGCTGCTGGTGGGTACTAAAGGGAAGTATAGTGGCTAAGGGCAGCATTAGCTCCAGGCTCGTGACCCAAGTGACCTGACATAGGAGAAGCATGTTAAGATACCCTGCTATGCTTATATACTACTCCTGATTATTTTCTGGGTCAGTTTTCCTCCCCTCTGCTGTGACAGCCATAGGGAACTCAGTGTAGCATCTTTAACAGTGACTTGTGACTTGCCATTGTAGCTTTAATAGTTTAAAAAAACACCAGCAAACACCACACTGGCATTGATCCTTGAAATGGCCCTTTTCACATCCGATGAAAGTAAGAGAAAGCTCTATATTATGCATCAGGCATGTTCATATGAGCCAGGCTTCCTGAGGGATACTTAATAGTGCTGCCTACAGAATATTTCAATGATGTATCTTATTCCAAGAAACTTCCAATGGACTTGTTTTTCCTATATTAGAAGGAGTTTTGTTTTTTGTTTTGTTTTGTTTTGTTTTTTTTTTTTTTGTTTTTTTTTTGGTTTAGTTTGGTTTTTCTTGTGATGATGATTTACTTCACCACCAGTTGTCTTGCTTAGCAGGTATTTGATTGGTTTGAAAACTGAGGAGTAGCCATGAGACCATGAGCATTTTGAGTTCTCAGTACAGTCACATCTGAGGACCCTTGTGTTGCTCTCTGACAGTGCTGCTACCCAGGGTTAGCTCTACTTGTGCAGGGCCTGCTCTGATGGTGGCCTTAGCAGCCCTGGACTCTAGTGATAGGAGTCTGTGGGAAGAAAGCTCCTTTGCTGTGACTTCAATATAATCCTGAGACTGAGTATCACCTTTTCCCTCTGGGCAACATATGTGTGTGTTCCCATCCATGAACCTCCACTGTGCAAGGATGTGGAATTTATGGGCTGTCCGAGCCTAGGAAAGTGCAGCAGGCCCAACCAGGGCTGGAGGGGAATGCAGAGTCACCAATGCAACACTGAGTCTGTGTGCTGTTTTCCAGCGTGGAGAGCATGGGTGCCAAGCAGCAAAGTAGACATCACAGCATGCATCCTGCAATCAACAGTGGTGAGCTAGGACACAGACCAGTTCACCGGAAAATCACATTGAAAGGATCATTCAGCCAGTTTTTCCTCTCCAAGCTCCCCCAGGCTTGGCTATGTCACCCCTCAGCTTGGCCTCCAGCAGACTTTCTGTTAAAATAAGCAGTAGCATTCTCCCTTCACTAGGACTGGGAGGGCTGTCCCTGCTGCCTGACCCCATGCCTCCACCCAGGGCTGAATCCAAAATTTTTATCTTGTAGCCAGACCCTGTCCTGGCCCAGCTTAATTGTCTAGGTTGGGGGGCGGGGACTGACAAGTACTTGTGCCCATCTGGAGGGTGAAGGGAGGTGACTCAGGAAGGTGCCCAATTGGGCATCTCTGGGTGCTTCTCTACTTCTTCTCAGGATCTGGGAGCCAGCAGATGATCCCAGTCCATCTTGTTCTCAGATAACCCTTAAAGTGTCCTGAGTCAGGCTCCCAACACAATGTGCTCACTTCTGCACCAGTGTGTCTGGACATCCTACTTTCCCTAGGGCTGCTCGTTTATACAAGGCAGTTATTGATGTACTAATGACTAGGCTGCCTCTCCCTAATCATTACTAGTTGTTTGTTTCCTTGATAATGCAAAAAGACTTTGTACCCTACCAAAGCTTTGGTTTTGCCATGAGAGTATCATAAGCAGGGTGGCTTAGGAACTTCAGAACCAGAGGGCTGGCATTGGAATGGCAGCATGGACAAGTGTCTCTGCACTCCTGATGGTTTCCAACATTGACCTTAGCCTTAACTGAGTGGCTCCTGTCACTGTCAGTATGTGGCATCTACTCCATGTGTGTCTGAGCCTCCACTTTTTGTGTGTGTTTATTGAGGGGTTGTTTGTTTTATGTGGGGTGGGGAGGTTCTGGAGATGCAGCCCACACCTGGCCTTGTGTATACTAGGCAAGTACTCACCCCCAGATTATTTTCCTCTTCCTAAAAGTACACCAGCCTGTAGCTGGAGTTTTCTCTTGTCCTGCCTGGCCTATAGTCAAGACAAAACTCTCTCACCCACCAGCCCTGCAGCCACTTAGACCTAAATAAACACACAGAGGCTAATATTATTTAAACTGCTCAGCCATTAGCTCAGGCCTACCACTGACTAGCTCTTACACTTAAATTCAGCCCATTTCTGTTAATCTATATGTTGTCACATGTTCCGTGGCTTTACCTGTGTGCCTGTTACATGCTGCTCCCTGGACAGCGGGCTAGCATCTCCTGATTCAGCCTTCCACTTCCCAGCATTCTCCTCTCTGCTTATCCCGCCTATACTATACTTCCTGCCTGGCTATTGGCCAATCAGCATTTTATTTATCAATCAATCAGAGCAACACATTCACAGAATACAGAAAGACATCCCCAGCACTTCCCCTTTTCTTTTTTTTCAAAAAGGAAGGTTTTAACTTTAACATAGTAAAATTACTTACATATAACAATTATCAAGCAAGAATTACAGTTAAAATATCTAGTCTATTTATAGTATCTAGTCTATTTGTATTTGGCAAAATTAAAGAAGTTATCCTATCTATGCTATATTTGTGAGTCTAAGGTTTTGTATCTAATTTATCTTTTTATCATAACTAAGGAAATTATAACTATCTAATCTTCAACTACATCAAAGACCCCAGAAGGATGTAATAATACCTAAGTAAGCAGGAAGAGCATTGTAAGCAACTACCAAAATTTAGAATGACAGACAGCTGCCTGCCTGGACCATCATCTGAAGTTTCTCTGCAGTGTTGGGGCATCCATCTTCAGCCCACAGGCCTAGAATCTCTCAGTCACTTCTTCCTGTGCCTGTAGAATGTCTGGCAGTCTCTTCTGCAAAGCAGGAACCTGAAGGGCCATCTCACCTTGCAAAGTTCAGTGGTCACCTTCTTATGGGTCCTGCATGTCCACTTTATACAGCATAATGTCAAAAAGTCAACGCAAGGGCACTTTTTTGCCCAGTGGCTAACTTTTGCCACAAAGAAAGCAAACTCTGTAATGAGTTTCTTCAGTGCCCATCATCTTCCTTGATGTATTTGGTGCTGCCAGAACAGACGTGTCTCATTATCCAGGAAAGTCTAAGTTTTTAAAACATTTTAAATGCCATATTCTGTAGGTCTTTGGAGTGTTTGAAGATTATCTACCTAATTGAAATATATCTAGGTATACCTACAAAACTTAACTAATATGACTATAAGTTTGATTATCATGGATGACTAACTATTAATCTGTGTTTCTTAATTAACCATTACAATTTAAATGAGTTATATAAACATATAATACCTTAAACGAGAGTAGAAATATATATACAGTATAACAAAATTAACTTTAAATTTGTATCAATACACTAAAATCTATACCAATGTAAAACATTTCTAAACAAGTTGTTGCTCTTTAAAAGTAGGTTCATTAATCTACCCTTTCATCCTATCATATCTACACTATCCCCTTTTCTTTTTTAGAAAGAGATGGCATTTATAATCAACCTTGTTCTAAATAAAAATACTGATTTTTCTCTGTCCCACACTAGAGAGCTCTTCTGATACGGGACAGAAGAATATCTCAACCTTTTCTTTTAGCAATATGCTTGGGTTTAGAAGAGTGAGCCAATTCCATCTCCAAAGCCAGCTTGTTATATTTGGGAGTTTGGGCATAGCTTCTCATACTAATTCCTGCTGGATGAGGGTGCTGTATTCTTATGGGGACATAAAGAAAATTTTAGGATTATGGGGTAGTCCATGAGGCTGTATTGTCTGAACCAGTTGCCTTGAAACCATTCTGGATGTTGGATCACCTGGGCCATGGTGTCATCAGAGACCTTTTTGAGGGTCTTGGCTGGTCAAACCTGATGTATCTTAATCTGGAACAAATCCATAGCCTCTTGCTTTCTGTGGAAACAAAAACAGAGCCTCTTTTGTAAAGCAACATATCCTCACATCCAAATTTTGAAGTCAAGGTACCTTTAAAATGTACATATTGGTTTAACTGAGCAGCCTTTACAATCAAATGTCTTTCTGCAGTTAAAATTCCCAAAGACAACACAATCCAGATTCTCTGTGTGATATCCATCTTTATGTGGCTTATTTTTTATATTACTTTTACTTTCTCTTTAAAGACTTTATTTTTAAAACTATTTCTTTATATAACTCCATATATTGCTTTTTTTTTTCTCTTCCAAGCCTACATACATTTTTACACACATTGTAAACTGTTTAGAGGTTTATCCCATCTGAATCTGTCTTATTGTGTATCTATTGCTTTTTGTTGTTGTTGTTTGGTTTGTTTTTTTTGAGACAGGGTTTCTCTGTGTAGCTTTGCGCCTTTCCTGGGACTCACTCTGTAGCCCAGGCTGGACTCGAACTCACAGAGATCCTCCTGGCTCTGCCTCCCAAGTGCTGGGATTAAAGGTGTGCGCCACCACCGCCTGGTGTGAATCTATTGCTTTAAACTGCAGCATTCTAAGACTGAAATGGCAGCTGTGGCTGCTGGCTCTGCCCACCTCAGCTTTTCAACATGGCAGTGGTACCTTTACAGCCAGCTCTAGGTCTGGTAGCCATGTGTACCATCAACTCTCAGAAGCAGTGGGTCTATGCTTCTATACAAGTAGCGTGTAGCCCAGAATCCTTTTTTTTTTTTGGTGGTACTAGCAAAGGCTAAATCTTCCATGCAGTGTAATGTGCAGCTTGCAGCTGCCTCATTCCCTCCATGCTGTAGGTCAAACCTGCAGGCCATGAACCCACCATGGAGTAGCTCAAGCCCGAAGACTGCCGCTATCTTGAGAGAGACAACGAGGAAGCTGTTTTTAGCTCTGTTTTTAGAATCTTCTTTCTCAGGTTTTAGGTGGAAACTCTTGCCCCACGTTTGGTGCCATTTGTAGCTGGAGTTTTCTCTTGTCCTGCCTGGCCTGTGGTCAAGACAAATCTCTCTCACCCACCAGTCCTGCAGCCACTTAGACCCAAGTAAACACACAGAGGCTAATATTTAAAACTGCTCAGCCATTAGCTCAGGCCTACCACTGACTAGCTCTTACACTTAAACTCAGCCCATTTCTGTTATTCTATATGTTGTCACATGTTCCATGGCTTTACCTGTGTGCCTGTTACACGCTGCTCCCTGGACAGCGGGCTAGCATCTCCTGATTCAGCCTTCCACTTCCCAGCATTCTCCTCTCTGCTTATCCCACCTATACTATACTTCCTGCCTGGCTATTGGCCAATCAGAGTTTTATGTATCAGTCAATCAGAGCAACACATGCACAACATACAGAAAGACATCCCCAACACCAGCCACCATGGATTTCTCCCAATAAGGTGTCATTTTAATTTGATCACATCCGCAGAAACCCCAGTAAGGTCATATTCACATGCAGCAAAGGCAGGGTCTGATCATTAGTAAGGATGTAATTCAGCCCGCAGCACAGGTCAGACTCTTAGGAAAATCAAGACAGCTTAAATGATACATGAAGTAGAATTAGAACATCCATTTAAAAAAATTTTTTTAGACAAACTAGCCTTTTCAGAGTGGTGGGCAATTCTAAGTACTCTGTGGCTCATCTTGTATGACGTGAGCTAACACTACATCTAACCTGGTTGAATTCTTTCACAGAACTCTTCCCTGATCTTCTGAACAGCCCATGTGTGCAGAATGCCCCACAAGATTGGATTTGTAGTGGTCAGCTCTTCTGGACATGAAGATGGCTTCAGTGCCCGAGAACTAATGATCCATGCACCGACTGTCAGTGGCTGGAGGTCACCAAAGTAAGGCTGGACTGAGGGGCAGGGCTGAAAACACACCTTTGAATCTGAATACATTGAATACATTTAGGGTTTACCTCATGATCTAAAAACATGAAATGCATTTCTAGTCAGGTATATGGTGTATTTCAGTGAAAATTAAATTAAATCACTAAAATTAAAGTGCATTTTCCTCTTGGGGTTTCTGAGGGGACCCGGTAAACCCCCTCCCCTCTATTCCTGAGCTCTGAGGGACTGGAGAAGTCAAGCAGATGAGGCAGAACAGCACTTGCTGGAGCTGTGGGTGTTGAGGTTCCTGGTGCACTCCCTCCCAGGCATGCCATCCCTACATCTACCAATCCAGGTGCCACTGGGAAGGCCAGGCCCATGCGTCGAGTCATACCCACTTTTCTCCCAAGCTCCCCATGTCAGTGGTCTCCTGACTCCCTCCAGCTGCAAAGGGTAAAGCTTTCACTCTCTGCCTTCTGCATTCCCCTCTGCAGAGATCTTCAGCATTATCTGTGTCTGCTCTGCAATTCCATGAAGCTTGAAGGTTCTTAAGTAGACACACAGGGCTTGCTTCGTAACTAATTATGCAAGTCACTCTAACATGGCCCTTTTGTCATTGGCATGGTATTTCTTTAAGGTCATAACTATATCCATTTAGTAACATGCTTCCGGAGGCTACCAAAGGAAAGGGTATGTGTACTCCTTGTCACCCCCACAGAGTCACACTAGTTTTGGCCCAGGAGTCTCCTGATACCTGAGGTTAAATATGTTGCAGGAGTTAAGGAAAAGTATCCTCAAAAGAAGTATCACCAAGATAGACAAGGTGTTCTGTCAGCAATGGCCCAGAAAGCATGTTCAGGGTGCAGGTAGGGCTGGGTACAGGGTACTACTTATGTGATAGGGGAAGTTTCTGCCATGTCTTTCTCAGAGCCTTGGGATCCAGGCTTAAAATCTCCAGAGCTGACTGCTCCAGCCTGCACACCAGTCTCTGTTTCCAAATGATTTTTTTTTTTTACATTAATTATGTGTATGTCCATTCATGTGTGTGGAGATCAGAGATCAACTTGTATGATTCAGTTCTTTGTATGTTTGTTTGTTTGTTTGTTTTTTCGAGACAGGGTTTCTGCATGTAGCTTTGGTGCCTGTCCTGGAACTCGCTCTGTAAACCAGGCTGGCCTCGAACTCATAGAGATCCACCTGCCTCTGCCTCCTGAGTGCTGGGATTAAAGGCGTGCACCACCACCACCTGGCCAACTCAGTTCTTTCTTAACACTGTATGGATCCCAAGGATCAAACTCAGGTTGGCAGCAGGCACCTACACCCACTGAGCTGTTTTTATTCAAAGCAGGTTACGTTTATTCAAAAGCAATCTGTCACTGTCAGTGTGTGTTATAAGGATGGGAGGCTTGGGGTGTAGTTCAATGGGAGAGCACTTACCCTGAGTTGAAGAAGTCAGAGAACTGGGAGGTGAGCACAGGGCTGATGTGTTAGTGGTACCCAGGCTAACTGTGCTCCACCCGGGTTGGGGAAATGGCTCCACTCTTGAAGAGCCCCAAAGGAGCCTCACCTAGTTTATGGTTTTTCTGAGTGGGATCTGGGAAGAAGAGCCTGGCCAGCAATGACAGCACACTCGCGCACACACGCACAGAGTGATGTTGATGCTTGTGAAGGGAGGGGGTCTTTCCTGACTGCCCCATCTTCAGAGCTCCCTTTGTTCCATGTGCGCATAGTACCTACCAGCTAATGTGTGTCAGTGCTGTCATATCCACACACTGTCCTGCTCAGTCCTGACTGCCTTGCTGTGTGGGCTCCTTGCTGACAGAAGGAAGGAGTGCTCTAGCCAAGTTTCGCTTGGTGCTCATGCAGTGTGTAGGTCCTGAGCAAAGTTAGATGCTTCCGCTCAGCCTGCCCCTGGAGCTCTGAGCACACCCGGAAGTCTCCTCCTGGATGGTGACAGCCTGGCATCGTAAGCAGGTGCTTCACTTATGTCCTCAGGGTCCTGTGGGAAGCTTTTGGCTCTGCCTGGCCTGCTGGTACAGCCCCATAAGAATGGTTGATTTGTCTCCTGATAAACTTGAAGTCCACTTCAGCCTTTAGTCTTAACAGTCTGAGGTTGGGTTTGCAGGTGGCCGGCAGAGTCGATCAGCTTTAGGTCCAGGCTTTAGAAGGGAGGAAGCAGCAGTCTTCTAGCCGGGTCACACTACCCCACATCCAATGTGCTGTGCCTCACACTCCCCTGCCTGAAAGCAGGCAGACAGGAAAACTGCAGACATTTCCCAGAACCCCAGAACTGTGTTTGCTTTCAGGTTCTGCCAGTTTCCACAAGAGATTGTTCTCCAGATGGTGGAGAGGTGTCGGATAAGGAAGCTGCAGCTGCTCGCTCACCAGTACATGATCTCCAGTAAGGTCGAGTTCTACATCAGTGAAAGCTTGCCCGAATACCTGGTGCCATACCAAGCAGAGCGATTCCGCAGACTGGGGTGAGGATGAAATGCAGTGTGTAGTGGTGACACTGAACACGACAGCTTCATGGATTGTGCCTCTTTGGCCTGTGGTGATCTTTCCAACACACATCTGGGATTTCATATGCTTAGCAGGCAGGGTTACCATATCTGTGGGTGCAGCAGCAGCTGCTTCTCAGGTAGAAAGCTTTTCTCAAGAGCATTCACTGGAGCCTGACCCTGGAAGGTCCCTAGGTTGTTCACCCAGGCCCTGTGGGGTTCGGTGGGAGTGGGCAAGGCTTTGTCAGCACCGTGCTTCAGCTGTGGCTTTCCTTCCAGCTATGTCTCTCTCTGCGACAATGGAAAGACAGGCTGCAAGGCCCGGGAGCTCAAGTCTGTGTACGTGGATGCCGTGGGGCAGTTTCTTAAACTGATTTTTCACCAAAACCATGCCAACAAGTACAACATATATAATCAGGTAAGATCTGTGCGTGTGCTCGAGGCTCTGCCCTGACACACAGCACCCCGCATGAGAGGACTGCTCAGGTGGCCTTGTACATGCAGAGGCAGGGTGCTCCCACGAGAGCAGTTGTATGAGCGGCTGTTGCTCTGTGAAGCCAGGTTCTCCCATTTGTCACCTCTGGCATGTAGTCGTAGGGCACACAAGAGCCTCTGACTGGACCAGACTCAGATAAAGAGTGTGAAAGGTTCCTGGAGGTTTTTACTTCTGTTGTGTGTCATAGCTTGACACCATTATGGAAGCCACTTGCACTGTTCCTGCCTTATGCTTTCCTAAGCATGTGTGACTGGCAGCCTGTTGTTTGGCAGCCTGTTGTTGTTTGGCAGCCTGTTGTTGTTTGGCAGCCTGTTGTTGTTTGGCAGCCTGTTGTTTGGCAGCATGATGCCAATGAACCCTCTGAACCGCCCAAGGCCAGTGCCCGTGTAAGCTGCTTACCAGCAGCTGGGCCAGCTGCTTCAGCTGCACTGCTGACTTTTCTTTGTTTCTTTCTTTAATTAAATGTATTTATTTATTTCATATCCCAACCACAGTTTCCCCTCCCTCCTCTCCTCCTATTCCCTTCCCCCACCTCCCTTCTGCTATTCCCCAATCCACTCCTCCTCTGTTTCTGTTCCAAAAGGAGCAGGCCTCCCATGGGTATCCACAAAGCATGGTATATCAGGTTGCAGCAGGACTGAACGCCTCCCCTTGTATTAAAGCTGAGCAAGGCAACCCAGTATGAGGGGAAAATTCCTAAAAGCCAGCCAAAGCGTTAGGGACAGCCCCTGTGTAGCCAGTGGTAGGGTGCTTGGTAGGGTAGTAGGACACATGCTCAAAGCCTGAGTTCAATCCCAGTACCTCTTCCCAACCTGAAAAAAGAAATCGTGTGTCCAGAACAATCTTGTTTGCACACACATTTATAACACTTGCTGCCTCTCCAAGAAGAGTAGGAGAAAGCCAACAGGTCACATTGTTGTACCAGGCAAATGAGTTGTGAGGTACTCAGCTGCTACATCATGACATCCATTATAGTGTGGCCTCAGGAAACAGGAAGGACCATTTCTAACATTTTTCCCCTTCCACCCTATCTGCATGTGTCTACCAGTAGGAACTGGTTAGGAACTTGGGCTGCAGTAATGGTTGGGAAGGAGAGCAACTTCTCCACCTATGATGAGAGGTGAAAATCAGCACATGGGTAAACTGAGCTGTGTTAATTTAGTGTTTCTTTTCCTTTTCTGGGGTAATGTGGATAGTCTCTCTTATTGGGAGACTCTACCAAAACCCTAGGTTAGAGATTATTTTTTTAGAACCCTGTAAACCATAGCAACTTGGTTGAGCATTAGAAGAGTAGTCCTCTTAATGTATTGATCACTTCCTGTCAGTGCACTTGGGGATGCACCCTCCTACCTGATAACACCACAGGCAAGAGCTGGTTAAAGGGCTTAAAACATCTCAAACACTGATTTGACTATTTCTTAGGTGGCTTTGGTTGCAATAAATATCATTGGAGACCCTGCAGATTTTGGTGATGACAGCAATATTGTAAGTATAGAAATTTAGTTCCTAAAAAATAAAAGGAATTTCTGTGGGAGGAGGAATCTTTAATTCTCACCATAAAATATGTCAATTCAGAAGGGCTCAAAACTTTCCTCAGGAGTTTTAGCTGCCCAACCAGAAGACTAGGGCCACTGAGTCTTGTTAGCATCTCTTAAACAGCTGTAAAGTTAAGGTTTGTTTTGTCCTTTGTTTGTTGAGAGTCTAAGAAGATGTTTTGTTCCCAAAGACCTCTAGAGAGAAGCTGATTGACCATTACCTTGGCCACAGTCCCCACAGTGAGGACCCAGCTCTAGAAGGAACTTTTGCTGGGTAAGACCCCTCCTCCATTCCTTCGCAGGACACTTCACAACTCCTCAGTCATTCCAAAGGACTCGGGGTCTCGGGGAGGCTTAGGTCGGGTGAGAGCAGATAAGCCACTGGTTGGGCTACTTTGTGTCCGTGCAGAGGTTAAGGTGACTGCATATCTTGCACACCTGCACTGCTGCCGTCAGAAATGCTTCAGTTCTGTATGTACAGGTGTCAGCAAAGGTTCCTGAGAACAGTGATGCAGTTGTCCACCAGGCCACAGCTCTCAGGCTCTGCTTCAGAGTTCTGAGTCTGCGGGAGAGCCGAGTGTACCCTCACCTCTGTCACCACTGGTCAGCTCCTTCTTGGTGGCCACACTTGATTTCTGCCTTCCCCAAAGCCTGAGCCTGCAAAGCAGCCACAGCACACAGTGCATGCTCCAGAGGAGCTCCCACCCTCAGTGCTGGAGCAGACTGTGCCTGGCCTGTCTGGCCCCCAGGTTTTGGGAAGCATGAGTGTCAGTGCTGAAATTCACTGTGAGAACCTGACCTGGCCCTGGGGTGCTGCATAAGAGTGGCTGTGCTCCTGCCCTAGAAATTCTGACTATGGCGCCATGGGGCTTTTTTTTTTTTCTTTTTGGTGAGGTTTTTAAAAATAAAATTATATTATTTCTGGGACATCATGGCAAAGTGATGTAGAGTTGCAAGCATAGTGTTGAGAGTTAATATGTGGTGTGTGGGGGCAACATGTATGTTATGTCAACCCTTACATTACTGGATAGAAGGGATGTTCATAGCAGCTGCAGCTGTCCATCACTGTCACTGGGCTGGCGGTCAGAGGGCCGGATTAAATGGGGCATGGGGTGACAGAAAGGAGCCTGAGGATTTTTAAATGGTATATGCCCAAGTTCCATTTGAGCTTATTATGATTCAAGTTTTCCACTAATTCTTTGTTTGACAAATAATATTTAATTTAACTTCACCTAGATGTAAAATACCCAAGTCATAGCTTGTGTTTGGCTTACTTCATGCAGCCAGTGCAGCTGATGGGAGACCCTGAAACTGGTCCTCTGAATCTGTGCAGTGTGGTCCTGGCACATGCTACTGCTGCACTTTGTAACCCAGAAGGAGGTTAATCACTGCCGTGCTGTACATTTTAAGAATAGTGGCAAAAATCACATGGCCGTGAATGCCGAGTTTATCTGAGGCTCAGCCCGACACGCAGCTCAGTGAAGCACCAGGAGCAGGAGCCCAGAAAGCTCCTGACTGCAGCCTGACCAGCCTCTCTGAGTCTATACTCCTTCACATAGGAGGCCCTGTGAACTGTGCTGGGACCTTCCTTAGCTGTGTGTTCAACATGAGCTCTTGACTCCCCTGACCTGAGGGGCTCGTCTTCTCTCCTTAGGAGATCTGACTATATCTCTCCACTTGATGACTTGGCATTTGACATGTACCAAGACCCCGAAGTCGCACAGATCATCCGCAGGCTGGATGAAAAGAAACGGGACGCTGTCAAGAAGGAGCGCTATGACCATGCCAAGAAACTGAAGCAAGCCATCGCTGACCTACAGAAGGTACAGCTTCTGAGAACATGCCCTCCACTGCTGCCTGGGCTGGGTCTCCTCTGCACCACCCCCACAGGGTTCCTAAGGCTGAGCAACAGACAAGGAGTCAGTCCCAGGCAGGTAGAACTGGGGATGGACAAGCAGCACCTTGAATGTGAAAATGTGGAGATGGAACTGGAGGCTTACTGCTCCTTTGGCTATTGGGCTGTCTTGGCCTGTGGAGCTCCTTAGTACCCTGTGTTGAGAGCATGCAGCACAAATCCTCCCACCCACAACTGTCCTGTGAGAGCAGATGCCTGTGTGTGTGCCGCAGGTCGGTGAGCGCCTGGGACGCTACGAGGTGGAGAAGCGCTGCGCAGTGGAGAAAGAAGACTATGACCTGGCCAAGGAAAAGAAACAGCAAATGGCACGCTACCGTGCCCAGGTGTACGAACAGCTGGAGCTGCATGGCCTCCTGCAGGGCGAGCCAGAGGTCAGAATGGGCCACAGGGTAGGGGCAAGTGGGAGAGAGTGAAGGCTAATCAGAGTTGTGCTTGGGCTTTGTGAATGTGTGGACTAAAGCAGGAACTCCATGCCATGTGCAGTCAGCAGGTTTCTGCTGTGATGGGGTCTTCTAGAGTTCACATAGAAGATGAGGAGGAGCCCGGGGTCAGGAAGATCCAGGCACTGTCACTTACCAGGGACCCCTCCAGCCTGACCTCTACATTGTCTGGGCTGTGATACCTGCACCATGTGCCCATGGGTGTAAAACCCCCTGGATTAGTCTGAGTGAGTGAAGACAGACCTCTCTCTAGCAGACACCCTATCCCTAGTCTTACAGTCCATGTCAGAGATGATGACTCCATGGCAGGTGAAGGAAGGGGACACAGTGCTGGATGCAGATGGGGAGAGAGGCTTGGTGCTGCATACAGACTGCCAGTTTTTACCAGTCCTTCTCTAGGCTGCCAGTCTCAGACTGGTACTGATGGCTGTGTACCTCTGCCTTCCTGGCAAGTAGAAGCATAGACCAGTGAGAATCGCAGTGTGGTATCCAGGGCAGACCCTGCCAGTCAGCTCTGCCAGTGTGTATTGTGAAGAGTCCCCTGACCAGCTGTGTAATGCATGGCCAGTTCTAAACCGAGGGTCCTGCCCCAGTGCCTGCCTACTAGTGTGCTTCTAGCACAGATACGTTTGTGAAACATGCCCCAGCGTGCATGCTCCTGCTGCCAGGTGTTTGGCGCTGCTTGTAGGCTGCACTGTAACCATGGCAGAGATAGCTGAGGAGATACTATGGTCCTGGGACTTAAGAGTGGGCCGTTGTGTGCTCATGAGCATGCCAAGGTTCCTTACTCAGCATGGCTTCCTTCAGATGGCCTGCTGTGGTCATAGCCCCTTGTCCTTCATATGGCCTGCCATGGTCATGACCTCTTGTCCTTCAGATGGCCTGCCGTGGTCATGACCTCTTGTCCCTCTTTCCTCCAGATACAGCGGCCTTTCGCTTTGCCCCTCCAGCCCCTTGCTTCACCCAGCAGTCCCCAGCACTGGAAGGCAGTGTCCTCACTCCCGCGCACAGAAGAGCTAGTAGCAGAAGACACATTTGCAGGCCCTATCCTCCAGGAAAAGCCCTTGGCATATACCTTGGCATCTTCTCCTCGGCATTCAGCAGTGGACCAGTCCCCGCCTGCCGCAGTCCCTGCACCTAGGAGCCATGTAAGTTACTCCACTCCAGCATGACTGTTAACCAGCAGCATCACTGAGGACCTGGGCTGTACTGGGTACTAATCCCAAAGCACAGGTATGTATCTGTCCCCAGGGCCAGCCCTCCTCCTCAAATCTAGGAGGGACCTGGGACTCTGACTAGAGCAGAGCATGAGTAAGCATGGTCCCTTGGCCACATCCCTTGAGAGGCACATCTGTAACCCACCCTGCTGGGCCCTCTGGGTCTGCCATGTCATCTGTGGGCTCACAAAGTATCTTTTGAACCCATGATTCTTCTGTAAGAAAATATATACATATACTTCAAGCATTGCTTCAAAGAATAAGAAAGCATGTGTAAAATTGCCTGTACCTGGAGCTCTCAAGAAGCTGAGGCAGGGTTGCTGCCAGTTCAGCTTGGACTACATAGCAAGTACCAGGACATCCAAGGCAATAGAGTGAGATCCTGTCTCAAAATAAGTGGTCAACTCCCCTATACGTACTTTCCAGATAGAGCCTCAGTCATGTATCCATTGTCACCGTGCCTGTTAGAACACAGGAAACCTGAAGCAAGCCGGGCTTTTTATTGACTGTTCCAGCTAGAAACACAATAGGTCCTGCAGGTTTCAGGATTGGTGTGACTCAGAAGCTCAACATTGTCAGCAGAAAGCGGATTTCTTCCTGTCACTTGACTCCCCAGCTCCTTGTCTCCCTAGGCTGCCTACTGTCACGCCAAGAGGTCCCCACTTCAGTCACACACTCCAGCCCCTGAAGCAGCAGCAAGAACAGAGGAGATCCCTATGCTGACTGGCCCCACCAGGCCTTTCTGGAAGGGCCTTTGCACATGTGTCCATCTTAGAGTACTGATGCCGCCGAGGCCTAGTCTTCCATGTTGTCTCAGGGTTTCACACAAGTGGTTTCAGACTTTCAGAAATGTGTTCTCCTCACATGTGTACAATCGCCTACTGTCTCAGCTTCAGTGCCGAGTCGGGAGTGCTCCCTCTCCACTCCACTCTGCTGCACACCTGCCTTTTAGTTCTGTGCCTTTGCCTCTGACTGGACAAAGTCGGGAGTGCTCCCTCTCCGCTCCCTGCTCCCACTCTACTGCACACCTGCCTTTTAGTTCTGTGCCTTTGCCTCTGACTGGACAAGGCTGGAAGGCACCACGAACAGTGCCTGGTGAGTGAGGAACTGGAGGACTGAAGGCTAGGGTGGCAGCTGCCTCACCAGGGAGCACCCCAGAGGAGCTTGTTACAGATTCCCTAACTGGGGGGCTGTGTTGGGCCCCCAGATAATAAGCGTGTTTATTGTTCTATGCAATGCAGTAAAAGTGTGTCAGCAAACACTAGTCTGAAAAATAATGGGATGACCCTTCCTCCTGAACTCCGTGTCAGCTGAACTGAAACGGCTGCAGGTGACTAGTATCTGAGCTGAATTTCTGTGGTGGGAGTGTTGTTATTCCATGTCTAAGTGAGTTCAGGCAGGAATGGAAGGCTTCATCAAATTTTTCCAATTATAACCCATTTGTAGGAATTATTCTAATCTGATGCTACTTATACTTAGATGAGTAATCCTTTTAGACCTCTTGCCCAGCAGCCCAGCAGGCTGTGGAGGAGACATCCTGGGCAGAGCAGCCACCCACAGCACTCTGCTTGCCTCTGCTCACCTACAGGTGGACGCCCTGCCCTATGATGAACGGCCTCTTCCTATTACTCGAAAGCAGTTGGGGGAAGCATCTGCAGAACCAGAAGTGAGAGAGCCAGACAGCAGTGATGTCCGGAGACGGGGTGTCTCAGGGGAACCCGAGCCCTTGACAGAGAAGGCCTTGAGAGAAGCCAGTTCTGCCATTGACACCTTAGGCGAAGCCTTGGTAAAAAGGAAGACCCGAGTTATGCACATGCATGGCACGCATGTTTGCACATACAGTGTGCACATGCATGCAAACTTGGAGCACACTAATGGGAAAAGAAGGGAAAACAGCTCTAGGGGGTTTTTTGTTTGTTTGTTTGTTTGTTGTTTTGGTTTTTTTCTTTGTTTAGTGTGTGTGTGTACGCGTGCGTGCGTGCGTGCGTGCGTGTGTGCGTGCGTGCGTGCGTGTGTGTGTGTGTGTGTGTGTGTGTGTGTATAGGTACATCCTGCCATTCACATGTGGAGCTCTCAGGTCTTAATTTCCCATTAACACAGCTCTACCTCTCATTCTGCAGAGTAAATGAGTTTTAAAGTGCAAGATGGCAGTCTGGGGTGGCTGTGTGGGGCCGGACAGTCTGCCTCCTAAGGTAAAGCAGGACTGCTGTTCCTGGCAGGTGGCTGGGGCCTATTCTAAGACGTGGTCCTGCCGAGAGGATGCACTGCTGGCATTGTACAAGAAGCTGATGGAGATGCCTGTTGGAACCCAGAAGGAAGATTTGAAAAACATACTCAGAGCATCTGTCTTTCTCATCAGAAGAGCCATAAAGGACATTGTGACCTCAGTAAGTCCTTTGCCTGCTGTCCCCAGGTCATTGACATAACCATGAGTTAGCTTTCAGTAGGCCAGGAATGAGGGTTCTCTAGCAAGAGGCACATCCTAGGCTCCAGGGAAAATGGCAGGTGGGTGATGCCGTCCTTGCCTGGGCACTTCCTCTGCTCTGCACAGCCTCCATTTTCCCAGAACTCAGCAGATGTGCGGACTGACATTCAGCTCTCCTTGTTTTCATGAGATGTGAGGGGCCGGAGAGTTGCATTCCTTTTAGTAGCTCTGAACAGGCTTGAGAATGAGCATCCCAAAAAAGAAAAGTTGAGGACTGGGTGTCTGTCAGGAGTGGTGAGCTGCCATCACATGGTCAGGAGGGTTAAGTGCTGAGGGCTGAAATGAGAGCAGGACCCGGGCCTGGGGTGCCGTACTTGGAAGCAGATTATAGTGTAACGTTCACATTTGTTGATTTCCTGTTTCCTCCTGGACTCCCACCACAGCAGCTGATCTGTCTGACCTCATTTTCTTCAGGTCTTCCAGGCTTCACTGAAATTGCTGAAAATGATAATTACACAGTATATCCCCAAGCACAAGCTGAGCAAACTGGAAACAACACACTGTGTGGAGAGAGCTGTTCCCCTTTTACTCAGCAGGACCGGAGACTCCTCGGCTCGCCTCCGTGTCATAGCTGTGAATTTCATTCAGGTCTGAACTTCCCCAGCACCTTGTGGCTGTCTAACTCTGCCTTGCGGGGTTCTCTCCTTCAGAGCCTCAGACACCTGCCACCATGCTCCCCAACACTCCCCAACACTGGGAAAGATGAGCCCTGTCTACACATAAGCTTTTCTTGTTGTTGTGTTCTGTAATGCTTGAACTCACTGTGTAGTCCAGGCTGGCTCCTTGAGACTCAGTGACCTTCCTGCCCTCACTTCCAAGTGCTTAGATTGCAGGCAAGATTCTATA